CCTCCCAGGTTCAAGCAATTCTGCTGCCTCAGCCTCCTGAGTAGCTGGGATTACAGGCGCATGCCACCATACCCAGCTAATTTTTTGTATTTTTTTAGTAGAGAAGGGGTTTTGCCTTGTTGGCCAGGCTGGTCTTGAACTCCTGACCTCAGGTGATCTGCCTGCCTCAGCCTCCCAAAGTGCTGGGATTACAGTCGTGAGCCACCATGCCTGGCCTTGAGTACCTTTTCATATACTTGTTGGTTATTTGTATGTCTTCGTTAGAAAAATGTCTATTCAAGTCCTTTGCCCATTTTTTAATTGGGTTATTTAGGAATTTTTTTGATATTGGGTTGTAAGAGTTCTTTATATGTTTTAGACATTAAGCCCTTATCAGATATGGTTTGCAAACAGTTTCTTCCCTGGAATTGTTTTCTTAATTTCATCAGCAGATTATTCATTTACTTATTTATTGAAAGAGTCTCACTCTGTGATCCAGGCTGACATACAGCAGCATAACCACAGCTCACTGGGCCCTTGACCTGCTGGGCTCAAGTGAATCTCCCACCTCAGCCTCCCAAGTAGCTGGGACCATAGGTGTCCACCATCAACCCCAGCTAATTTTTTATACTTTTGGAAGAGATAAGGTCTTGCCATGTTGCCCAGGCTGCTCTCAAACTGCTGGGCTCAAGCAATCCTCTTGCCTCTGCCTCCCAAAGTGCTGGGATTATAAGCGTAAGCCACCTAAATAAATTAGTGAGAAAAAGAGTGTTTTCATGTTCCTTACATGGATGAACTTTCTTTAAGCTTTTTAAGGTTTTTGTCGTCCTTGCTTTATTTATTTCTTTGTTAGTTTGTCTGACACAGGGTCTCAGTCTGTGGCTCAGGCTGGAGCGTGCTATCACAGCTCACACAGCCTTAACCTCCTAGGCTCCAATGATCCTCCCACCTCAGCTTCCAGAGTAGCTGGAACTATAGACATAGGCTATCATGCCCAGATAATTTTTTATTTTTTGTAGAGATGAGATCTTGCTATGTTGCCCACGCTGGTCTCCAACTCCTGGACTCAGGCTATTCTCCTGCCTCAGCCTCACAAAGTGTTGGAATCACAGGTGTGAGCCACCACATCAAGCCAGTATATTTATTTTCAAATATAATCATTTTGAGAGCAGGGATATCTTCTTATTCATCTTCTTATGAATTTATGGCAAATAGTAAGCAACTCAATAAATTTGTTGAAGAAATGAAATATAGCAAAACTTTGAATTAGCCATTTCTGTAAAAAGGGAAAGATGACCACCCTGGGTAATTTAGTGAGACCCCATCTCTACAAAAAAATTAAAAAATTGGGCCAGGCATAGAGATCACACCACTGTACTCCAGCCTGGGCAACAGAGTGAGACTCTGTCTAAAAAAAAAAAAAAAAAAAGTAACAGAACATTGTGGTACACACCTGTAGTTCCAGCTACTCAGGATGCTGAGGTGGGAGGACTGCTTGAGGACAAGAGTTTAAGGTTGTAGTGAGCTATGATTGCACCACTGCACTCCATCCAGAGTGACATGGAGAGACCCTGTAACCCCTTCCCCCCCAAAAAAGGGAAAGAAGAAAGCATTACTTTTTCCTTTCTTTCCTTTTCTTTTTTTGAGACAATCTTACTCTGTCGTTCAGGCTGGAGTTCAGTGGTGTGATCTCAGCTCACTGCAACCTCCACCTCCCAGGTCCAAGCAATTCTCCTGCCTCAGCCTTCTGAGTAACTGGGATTACAAGCATGGGCCACCAGGCCTGCCTAATTTTGCATTTTTAGTAGAGACAGGGTTTTACCATGTTGGCCAGGCTGGTCTCGAACTCCTGACTTCAAGTGATCCACCCACCTTCGTCTCCCAAACTGCTGGGATTATAGGCATGAGCCACTGTGCCCAGCAAGCATTACTTTTTTCAAGGATTAGGAACATGTCTTTGAATATCTTTATAACTTGCTTGAGTGAATCATCATATACAAGTTTTGCACATTTTGTTGATGGACTGCTAAGTAGGAGGACGCTCATACCACAAACTCGGAATTTGCTCCAAAGAACTTCACAGCAAAAGATCTGCAATGTGCTAAGTAATTAATGATTTTATATTTATCCTACAACTTGCTGCTTCTCAAATGCCTAACTATATATCTAAACTCATGCCTAGAGGATTAATTTAATGAGTAAAAATCAAAGGCAACTGAAAACACAGTGGTTCACGCCTGTAATCCCAACACTTTGGAAGGCAGGAAGGAGGATCAGTTGAGCACAAGAGTTTGAGACTGGCCTGAGCAACAAGGCAAAACGCCATTTCTACAAAAAACTTGAAAAAGTAGCCAGGTGTGGTAGTGTACACCTATGGTTCCAGCTACTCCAAAGGCTGATGTGGGAGGATTATTTGAGCCTGCGAGGTCAAGGCTGCGGTGAGCTGTGATTGTGCCACTATACTCTGTCCTGGGCAACAGAAAGAGACTGTATCTCAAAAAAAAAAAAAAAAAAAAAAAAAAAAAAAAAAAAAAAAAAAAAAAAAAAAAAAAAAAAAAAAAAAGAAAAAGAAAAGAAAGAAAATTACAGTTTAGGAATATAATCCTATAATCCTATGAGTACAAAGAGCTTCCAAATATACCTTCTACTTAAGATAAAATGAATTTTTATCCTGTTTTATTTAAAAGCTAAAGAGAAGTTGGGAGTGATGGCTCACACCTATAATCCCACCATTTTGGGAGGCAGAGGCAGCAGGATTGCTTGAGACCAGGAGTTCAAGACCAGCCTGGGCAACACAGTGAGATTTCATGTCTATAGAAAATATATTCCAATGCAAGACAAAAAAAGAAAATACAAAAATTAGCCAAGCATGATGACATGTACCTGTTGTTCCAGCTACTCGGAAGACTGAGGTGGAAGGATCGCTTGAGCCCAAAAGGTCAAGGCTGCTGTGAGTTGTGATCATGCTACTGCACTCCAGCCTGGGTGACAGAGTGAGACTCCATCTCAAATAGATAAATAAAAAATAAAAGCTAACGAGCAAAAGTTTAATTCACTAGCAGGACTAACACAAAGTGCTACCACGTGAAAAAGTCATCTCGCTGGACACAGCAGCTCACTCCTACAATTCCAGTATTTTGGGAGGCTGAGGCAGGAGAACTGCTTTGAGATATATATATATATATATATTTCTCAATATATATATATATTTCTCAATATATATATATATTTCTCAATATATATATATATATATATATATATATTTTATTTATTTATTTATTTATTTTTAAAGTAGTTTTCGTTTGCTTGTTTAAGAATCTGAAAGGCCAGTGGAGAAAAGCTGTCAGCCCATTGTCAGGTCAGCATCGGTCTGGTGGCACTAAAGTGCACTAAAAAGTAACAGATCAAGTACTCAAAAAGTGAAATTTATTTATTTTGAATTTAGAAATTCAAACAACAGTGATACTGTTGTATCATATCAGTTATTCCATAAACGTGAAATCTCTGAAACAAAAAAAATCAGGAATTTTTTAAATCTCCACGATAGTTTTCAGTTTTATTTGAATGAATCTCCAGTGGAAAATACTGAGGAACAGATCTAAATGACTTAGGAAAAAATAAGTCATAACAGGAAAAACATACCAAAAAAAATTTCAAAATCTTGTCAATGCTTTGTATTTTTTCCTTATAACAAAAATCACCAAATTTCATTTCTGCTCTAAAGACATTAAAAACAAACCAAAAACCTCAGTGTTCTTCCTCCTATGTAAACTTCTGAAAGGTTTACAACTTCTCTAACAGTATAGAAACAAAAAAAGGGACTAGTTATTAATTTCTCAACTGTATAAGACTTTGTCAGGCAAACAGTAAACTGTTAGAGAAGACGGTAAATCAAATGTAGTTTCCAAGAGAGATTATTTTTCTCATGTGTCACAAACTCTACTGAAACTTTCAGGATAACTAGAAAGAATTATAACACAGAAGAATGTGTCTAGTACAAGAGAAAACAAAGAAAAAAAAAATTGTCTGGGTGTGTTGGCTCACACCTGCGATCTCATCACTTTGAGAGGCCAATGCAGGCAGATTACTTGAGCACAGGCATTTGAGCATATCCTGGACAACATGGAGAGACCCCATTGCTCCAAAAAATAAAAAATAAAAAATTAGCTAGGCATGGTGGCATGCACCTATAGTCTCAGCTACCTGGGAGGCTAAAGCAGGAGGATCACCTGAGCCCAGGAGTTCGAGGTTGCAGTGAGACACTGTCTCAAATTTTTTAAAATGTTAAAAATAGATAAATAAATAAAAATTAAACATTTCTCAAAGGACTCCCTAGAGGGCACAATTTAGTTGTTAGGGAAATGTCAAGTTTTCAATTTGTGGCTTCAAGTTTTAAGTAAATACAACTCAAAAATGTAACAAAATACACTGGAAAAAAATTCTTTTATCTTCCTTCCCAGCTATATCCGCAAAATAAAAGAAAAAGCAAACAATAAGGAGATGCAGTTGGCAAGTCTGTCATCTATAACTCACCTTCAGGAAACATAAAACGTATTTCTCTTTCCGCAGCAGCAAAGTCACTACTCCCATGAAGTGCATTCCTTAGGTCATCTGTGCCATAAATTGCCCTTAGACTAAAAACAAGTTGGAGATGATGTCCATCCAATCTGACATCTATTCCTTACTTTATATGTATACATTCTACTTAGGAATTTTACAAAAACATGGTCACTTCTTACATATGAAAGCTTCACAATCTATGTCAAATTTAAGCTTAAATTTAAGCTTATCTATCTAGATAAGGATCAAACATATTTACATTCACAGGAGGAATACACTGGGAAAACAGTTCGCTGGGTAAAAAAAAGCAGTGTTGTTTTGTGAGAAGGGAAAAAGCAATGCATATTCAAAAGTGCAAAAACTCAGTATCTTCTTGTTTCCATACATTAACAATAATGCTGAAAATCTGAATTTCTGTTCCTGTATTACCATTATTCTTTTAAAATACCATCCCAATTTTCCCATCTAAAAATCCTACTTCAGTGGCAGTTTAAAGGTTGAGAGAATACGGATAGTCAACTATAAATCAGACGTTCTCTGAGGCTTTTTCTGGTATGTAGTATTGATAGGTATTTAAAGTGGTTAAAATGTAAAATGGACCTCCCAGACTCTCCCCCCAAAACAAAGTTGATTTAGGAAAACTTCCAAATGAAAAGAAAAATCCCATTACAATGAAATCAGATTTTTTTTTTTTTTTTCATTTTCACAGATGGATTCCATTCCCTGCCATCCCCCCAGGCCTGAAAATTACCTGTCTGGATATGTCTCCTTTGCTCCTAAGCTATTATTTGGTCCCAAAAGTTCTAGCCAATAAGAGATGGCTTTGTGTCTCGCTAATATCATGGCGACAAGTGGTCCAGAACTCATGTAAGCTGTTAAATTGGGGAAAAACATTTTTCCATACTGTTCCACGTAAAAGTTACTGCATTGCTCAGGGCTGAGGTGTAGTTTTCTTCTCTATAAAAGATACAAAGTCAACAAACACATTTAAAATGACAGTTCAATGATATCTCATAAGATCATTAGTACCAATCTGATTATAACTTTGAGGTTTATCTCTCTATTATGAAGAAAGACAATGATATAATTAAATGTATGCTGTAAATAAGATACTAAGAGGAATTACTTAGCCTACTTAAGAAAAATTAGGCCGGGCGCGGTGGCTCAAGCCTGTAATCCCAGCACTTTGGGAGGCCGAGGCGGGTGGATCACGAGGTCAAGAGATCGAGACCATCCTGGTCAACATGGTGAAACCCTGTCTCTACT